TTCTCTTCCGTGCGAGAATTTGTAATCCATTTGTAATAAGTCTCTGGATCGGCAGAATCCGTTTCTTCCTGGGTGCCTCCAGGATGGGTTTGGGGGATGATTCCAACCAACCAACCAACCAACCAACCAACCAGAACTTTGGGGCCCTGGCACCATTTCTCATTCTTGCTCAAAGCAACCACCCTTCCACTGCCCCTCACTGCTGATTTGTTATTATTTAAAAAGCTGTCACTACGGTTTGGAATTACACCGTCCTGCATATCGCGCTGCACTTCTGAAGGTTTCCTCGATATGATGCTTGTGATTTTCCTCTAAACAAGTTTCACCCCTCCGAGGGACCAGCCCAGCAGCCTGGGTTAAAATGTTCTTTTCAGACTTATATGGGTTTTCTCATGGGCGCTAAGGCCTGCCTTTTGGCTGAACCGCCTCTCGCAGTGAGCACACTTGTAGGGTTTCTCTCCCGTGTGCAGCCTCATGTGGGTCATGAGATTCCCCTTCTGGTTGAAACCCTTCCCGCACTCGGAGCAAACAAAGGGATTCTCGCCCGTGTGGATCCTCTCGTGGATGAGAAGCCTAGATCTCTCCGGAAAGCTTTTCCCGCAGTGAATGCATTTGTACGGTTTCTCTCCACTGTGCAGCCTCTCGTGGATGGTCAAGTAATGTTTCTGGTTGAAGCTCTTTCCGCAGTCCGGGCACCTATACGGCCTCTCTCCCGTGTGCGCTCGGATGTGTTCCCGTAAGACTGAACCAGATCCAAAGTTTCTGCCGCAGTAGGAGCAGTTAAACGAAGACTCTCCACAATGGATACTCAGATGCTCCTTGAAAGTCAAAGCGCAGCTGAAGCTTTTATCACAGTGGGGGCATTTCGTGCTTCCCAGTCCTGCGTAAACTCCCTCCTGGGTTATAAGGGCCTGGGTGGGGATCAAGCTGCTCCCACCGTGGGAAGACAGATAGGATTTCCCTGCGGTATCTACATTCTGATGCTTCAGAAGATCAGAGCTTTGTCCAAAGTTCCCTCCGTGGTCCAGCTTGGTGGGCTGCAGCTTGCCACACAGGACTCTCTGCTGTTCTGTAGCACTGCCCGTCCCTTGGTCATTTTCAGCACAGAAAATCGTCCTGTCCATCCCTTTCTCAGGACCCAGCTCCTGTGCATTCCCCACTTCGTTCTGACCTTCCAATGTTCCTCCATTCTTACAATACTGGAAGTCCCTGTTTGTTCCCAGAGAAACATCCTTGAGTTCCACGTGTTCTCGTCCTTTGCGATGGATGGAATTCACCTCTTTCCCCCACGCCTGATCATTATCTGCAGAAAGAAAACAGAGATTCTTATCCAGGATCTGCACCCTCCCTCCCCGCCCTTTTGAAACAGAAACAACACAGTTCACTAACAGAGCACTCTGGCAGATGGAGGAAGCCATGTGACTTATTGATCATTGATTGATTAGCATGATTTATTGAACATGCTAAGTTTCAAAGTAAAATGGTTGCAGAATTGCTTAAGGACAAATGATAGAAAGCCATTATTTGCACGGCTGCGGTATAGGAGTGGGCAGAATTCCTTTGGGATAATTTATGGGGGGGAAGGCACATAATTTATGGGGGGGATGGAGGCGCTGAAAAAAACGTACACAGACTTTGGAGGAAGACCCTTGGAAGATGACAGCGATAGATATCTGAATATTTCTGGACTGATTTTATAAATAACAATGTTTTAATGTTTTTAGCATTGTAAGCCTCCTCAAAGGCTGAGGAGTTGGCAGCACACAAATTATTGGAATGAAATAATAAAGTGGATTGTCTAGAAGTACCTCTGGAACATGATATCAGCATTTTTTTAAAAACCACCAAGTACTGTTTTGCTCTTCACTTAAAGCAGCTTGCATTTTTTAAAAAGAGGTTTACATCTTTGATTTTTTTTAAAAGGTTTTGTTTGGAAACCGCCGTCCCCCTTGACAGTGCTACTGTAGCCTGAAATACGCTTTTAAAAATAGACAGAAGTCAACATGCTTGGCCCTAGATCTTTTTTTTAAGAGTAAAGTTTAGCCTCCCCCTGATGGCATTTGATGAAGAAGACTCTAGTCCAAAGTCTGGTGGCACAAGACATAGAAGAAGAGGAACTGGTGTTTAAACTTCCAAGAGAGAGGGAGCCTTACTCAGCCAAGTTGCCTCCTTGCCCTGTCCTTCCTTGGCTTCTCTGCTGAGCTGGCCAGTCCAGCAGTCCATCAGCAGAACCTGGCCCATCTCAGAAGGTTCCACAGCCTCCTCTGCAACTGGTCTGGGCACCTGAAAGAGCATCCAGGAGAGAATTAGTTGAGAAGGTAGGACTTGAAGACAGGGAGGTGGCAGACATCCAGAGATCAGTGAGCCTTTTCCATTTAGGATGAACGAAAAGAACCGGTCTAGGAATCCTCAGTGCCTACAGAGGGAGGCTCAGTCAAAATGGGCAAGATGGTGGACCCAGCATTGTGGTGCAATGGGGCCTACGTCACAATGGGACGTCCACCATCTCGCCAACTCTGATCTCTCCCAGTGGGGGGTGCTGCCTGGAATCCTGGAAGCTAAGTCTTCAAAAATGTGTGTGTGTGTGTGTGTTTTCTTGATTAAATACATAGGGCAAACAGAAAGAAACGAACGGTACGGAAAGTTAGAAAACAAAAAAGAGAATTAATTTAATTTATTCAGTTTAGGTGCCGTCCAACTCTGGATGGCTTACAGAATGACAATTAAAGGAAACCAATAGAAAAAGGAAACCAGAATAGGGTATATGGTCATGGATACATACATAAACACATATAAAAGTTTTACATAAGTATTTCTATGAAGGCTAGCCAGTCCTGGATCCTAGCCTCTTTGCCATTTTAAAAATTCCTGAGAATGTGGGGAGGGGAGCTGGGAGGAGGGAGTGTTCAATATGCAGGAATGAAGAAATTCAGGATTTTTACTTAGGTTATTCTCAGTTCAAGAATCCAACAGTGTGCCAAAAAAGCAAGACACAGAGAGAGGGATGGAATGACCCCCCCCCCCCGAACTGACTTCTGAGGACCCAGCACACTCCAAAGGCACTGAATTCACTCGCTGCTGAAGGGGCAGCCATCTATACCGCAACATCTCGTGGCGGCTCACACTTTTAAACCGAGGTCAGTTTTAAAAGAGGAAATGCTGTCACACTGCTGAGGGGCAGTGCTTGCCCAGGTCACAAAGGAGGGCAATAAACCTTGAGCTACGGCTGGTTTGAGGAAGCCCAACTTGGGGTCCTCCCTCGCTCCATCACTGGCTGGAGAAAGTTCCTCCAGAGCAGAGGCATCCATGGTGCACATGCATTGCGAGTGCGAGAGGTGCAACATATAAAGGGTCAGGCTTTGATTGGATGATGTCACGACTGCCACCTTGCCTCTTTCAGCCCCGTCCCACCCCGCGGCTTCAGGGGCCCTAGATCATCTTCCCACCTTTTGCTCCAATTTCTCAGCCTCGTGCCGCTTCAACAGGAAGTCCTCAGCCAGGGCCACCGCCTGGGTGCAGCTGCCAGGCTTACGGTCCCTCACCCAGCTCTGCATGGCCACCGGCAGGATGCTGAGAAACTGCTCCAGGATCAGCAGTTCCAAGATCTCGTCTTTCGTGCGTCTCTCGACTTTCAGCCACCGGCAGCAGAGCTCCCGCAGTTGCCCGTAAATGCCCCTCGGCCCTTCTGTGTCCTGATAGCGGAGCTGCCGGAAGTGCTGGCGCTGCCTCTCCCGCGTGGCAGCCTCCTCTTCCAAGATGGCTGCCTTCACCTTCCCATAGTCTCCCCTCTCCTGGGCGTGGAGGCTGCCGAAGGCTTGCTCGGCCTCTCCGCTCAGGGCTGGCCGGAGAAAGGTCACCCACTTGTCCCGAGGCCATCGGCAAGCGGATGCGACTTGCTCAAAGGAGGCCAGGAAGGCCTTGGCATCGTCCCAGGGAGTGAGCCGCTCAGACAGCTGTGGAGTCCCCCACTCTGAGTCTGGCGCCTGCAGGGTCCTGAGGAACTCCTGCCATTGGGCCTCCCAGAGGTCTTGCAAGCCCTCGGTGGGCTCCTGCTTCACGTGATGTGGAGGCGCCTCCATCAGAAGCTCTTCAGTGCTGGCCATCTGTGCAACCAGTGGGGCTTTGGGCAGACCTTCCATTCTTTCCCAAGCACCAGGTCCTGTTGCCTCCTGCTCATCCATCTGGGAAATGGAGGTTGCTGTCCCTTTCTTCCCACTGTCTTGTCTTCCAGGTTCCTGGCACTTCTTCTCAAGGTAGTGCAGATCAGCTGGCTGGGAAAAAACAAGAGGGGAGAGATGTCTTCAATCATGGAGGGGGGAGACTCTACAGGTAGTCCTCGCTTACCGACTGCTTGTTCAGCACAGCTTGAAGTTACAATGGCACTGAAAAAGTTTTGCGACCGGTCCTCAAAGTTGCGGTCATTGCAGCATCCTTGCAGTCACGTGATTGCAATTCGGGCACTTGGCAACCAGCATGCATTTACGATGGTTGCAGCGTCCCACGATCACATGATCGCCAATAACGTCCTTCCCAGCTGGCTTCCAACAAGCAAAGTCAGTGGGGAAGCTGGCAGGACGTCACAAGTCCCAGTCATGTGACACTGTACTTAACGACTGCAGGTAATGTGCTTCACAACTGCAGCTGGAACTGATGTCGTAAGTCGGGTGCAGTGTGGAAGATAAGGCTGCTTAGAAAAATTGCAGGCCCCAATGTGGCCTTCTCCCCAGCGTCAGCCAATAAAGCCGCAACCTTGAAACAGGCATGGGAGGAGACGGGAGGAGAACAGAGGAGACGCACGTGTTTTGGAAGCTCTGCGGCCAGTAGCAGAGAAAAGCAGTCAAATAAAAGAAGGCATTTTTCCTTCACAAAGACTGGATGGTCCAGAGGAAAAGAAATCTAGAGGCAGAGCAAGGAAAAGCACAGGTATAAAAGCACAATGTGGAAAGTTGCACGTACTCTACCTGCTGGCCAGCAGCAGAGAAGAAAAAAGCAGAAGAAATTCCAGAGAGAGGAATTAAGGCAGAACAGGGTCTGTAAGAAGAAAACTTTGCTGTATAATAATACTATAGGGCAGTGTTTCTCAACCT